AGGCATAAAATACTGAAGAAAAGTCCACTGTAGAAAAAAAAGGAATGGACAAAAATCAATTTACGTATTTTATAACAAATCAATAATGGAGGATTAATTTACATACCGATGAAAATTATTCTGAAGCAGTAAACAAAAATGAACCATGGTAAACAGATTGGATTTCATTCACAATCTCTTCCATCAACCAAAAACAGAAAGCTGATCAAAACCTTCAAGTGTACATCCAAACCAAAAAAAGAAAAAGAAAGAAATTTAGAATAATCAGCTCCACCAACCCAACACGGAAGGCAGGCTGTACTTTTGAAGTTTCACAGAGCAGCAATGAAAGACAGCCACTCAACCTGCCTGAGTCACCATACAAAGCACACACTTAATGAACAACACAGAGTGATACATTTCAACATTTGCTTTTTGGTGCCGAGCACTGCGACACAGACTGGGCCTGCAGAGGGACTTTGTGTCTCATTCCCTGGCTCTCGAAAGAGCCGCCCAGCATGGATTGAAAAGAAAGGAGAGAGAACGACATAGAAACGTGGGGAGAGGGTGGAAGGGTGCAAGAGCACGTACTGGGCAAATATTAAAATATGTATCACTCAAAAGTTCAGTCCACTATCGCATAACGAACATTATAATGATTTACACTCATTGTCACATGGACTCTACAGAAACAGGGTCGCTCCACCAACGCCAAGATGGAAGGCAGGCAGTTCTTAATAATCGCTGCAACTCAATGCTGCTGCCATTAAAATTGCTTACAGGTTTCATATAAAAATTCCTGGCTTTCTGGATTCTACATATAAAGGATTGCTCCACCAACACCAAGATGGAAGGCAGGCATTGTTCAACACTCTCACTGTGAATCAGGGCTGCTACCATGATATGTGAAGTCAGAAACCTACATCATTAAGAAATTAAAACTATGGACAGAATGATACGCTGTAGTGTATGGTGTCCCAACTATTGACACTTTGACACAGTCTGGACTCACAGGGATTTTGTGCCTCATTCCCTAGTCCTATTGAAAGGACCGCCCAGCATGGAACGATAACAGAAAGAGAGGAGACAGAGAGTGGAAAAGGTTAAGGGTGAGCAAGGGTGTCATCATAGCAGTTACAAGCCATACATTAAAATGAGTATCATTCTGAATTATGCAGCCACAAGATGTGTTGTCGGGTAAGGCTCTGACAACCCATGTCTACCTACTCTGAGTTGGGAAAGACTTAAATGTACATATAGATGTATACTTGGAACTAGATATCACAGGCTTCACATTCAAGACCTGCAAACAATTAGTCAGAATTAGTTGAAAGAAATATGTGGGAACACTATTGCTATGAGACAGCGAAAGCCTTCACATACCTCTACCTCATTTCAGTTTCTGCAAGTTGTAGCACACTGTCAGATCATGAATAGCACAGCTATGGGAGGGAGAGTCAAACCTTGACGACACATCTGTAGGTTGAATTTTCTGCAATTAAAACATGTATTTAGTACACGCAAAATGGAACAAAAAAAAGTGAGAGCAGCACACAAACCTTTCAGTGAGTGAATGGGCACTATCTCAGCAATTTCCACTTAAAAGGGTTCATCCACTAGATACTGCTTCTTGTCTATCTCAAGTTTCATGGCCATTGTTCCCTTGTTTCTGAACTCTCTCTCATCAACCTCAGCACTGCCGTTAACAATCATACGTCCCGATGTGATGGCCAACTAAAAACAAACAAAACAATGCACATTTTTTCTGTTAGTTTTGCACAATTTCTTTCCTTTCGTAAAAGTAAACCTGTAACTGCGTGAGTGTGTGTCAGTCACACGTCTGTGGATGCGTCTTCCTGAAGACCTCCAAGCCCCCCCCCCCCCCTAGTTTGAGAGAAAAGTCAGTGATCTGTGATCCATGTCCGTTCACTCTGGACCAGTAGTAGTGACCCTTAACATTACAGGGGAGGAGTGCAGGTTTAATGCATGTGACATTCGAGACGTACGTGTTTAGGCAAACACCTCACGACTTCGTGGTTACCCTGTCAGCTGCCTAAGTACAGTCCGAGTCAAAATGCACTGGTGACCTGCCCATTCAAACACAAATGAATGCTGGCAAAGTTTCGTGCCTTAAATTGTCTTTGTAGTGACGCGTTTTGCTGTAACTAGTAAGTTACATTCATTCATTCATTCTTTCTTTTATGCCCAGCTGTTTTGGAATGGCATTTCCATGGTAAATGATGGAATGACGAGCTTACGGGTGCTTCGAGCTCAGTGTATTCTCGAGAGCAGAGGCTCCAAAGACCATGCGGGTGGAGGACGCTCCAGGCCGATGGCTGAAGTAGCTAGTGGTAGTTAGTTTTGTAGTTAGAGAGTGAGAATTACACAGAGAGTGAGCTCAAATGAAGAAGCGACTGGCGGTAAAGCCGCATTCCATCTAGAGTGGGTCACTTCGGATTCATGCAACGCGGAGATAAGTGAGATTTTGGCACCACCCCGTTCATTTTTCAAGTCCAGAAGTCTGCTTATCTTGGCGGGTGCACAGGACTCGTTGGTGGATAGCACTCTTTGCGCTTTAAATTTTGGGCTTAACTTTACCGTCACTACTATTAGACAAAGAAGAGTCACCGAGGCCCCTTTCATTTTCATTTTCAAATTGATCTTTTGACTCCAGAGAAGAAAGACAAGTCGCTGTTGTTTTAAGGCACAACCATGACATGGTTGCTGCCCCTGGGCCAAATTTTGGATTGATACTGGGGATCATCCATTAATCAAAAAACAGTCACGTAACGTAGTTTCATGCTCGCCCACGCCTTGTCAACCAGAAACGTGTTGTCGCACGCAGGCCCCTTATCATTTGGTGGCCGTTGGTTCCTTTGGACCAATGGGTTGACTAACCCTTGTGACAATCCTGTCCTTTTAGTGCTGCACTTGCATCAAATGACACTGAGCGCGCCGGTCCACTTCCTGATGGACCCCATCGTGTCTAAGGCCTGCCCAGCAGACCTTCCCTGCCACAGCTCTGCCTAGCTCATCTCGCGTCACCCCCAACAGGAGAACATGGTTAAGGAAAATAAACCTTGTTGTTTTCCCCACCTACCCTGTTCCTGTTTTTCGAGCCCTTTCCCACGCCTTGACACATACTGGTCCAGCTGCAGATTCCGAGGGAGGAGGAGAATGCAAGGAGAGTATTGTTTCAATTGGTTTGAAATTATTTGGGTTTAATTAAACGGCGTTCAGTTGTGTTGCAGTGAGGCATCTGTCTGACCCCAGGTGCTCTTGTCTGTCTAGGCAGAGTGGTAACACAGCCACCGCGCAGTTAACCCTCTCTCTCCCCAGGCTCCCTTTCTGTTCCTGGCAAAGTCCTGTTCGTTTTCGATTGCTGTTCCAGTCCCTGTCCCCGTCCCGTTCCTGTCCAGTTCTTGTCCCGTTTCATCAGGCTTGGCCGGCCGTCATCACAGCACCGTGACGGGTAGCACTGCAAGAGGGAGCTCTGGCCCTGTATGGAGAGGAGTCTAACTCTCCGTGCTATCGTCCTGGAGGCTGCACCGCAAGAAGGGTGGAATCGGCCCTGTATGGAGAGGAGTCCGCTGCCCCGGTGCCGCCGCCAGTCGTGACATCTCAAGACGGCCTTTGATTGAAAAGATGAACGTTCTTAGTTAGGTTGTCGAGCCCTCAGCTGTTTTCCTAACTACTTGCCAAATGGGGAATCGTTCCACTGGAAAAGTACCTTCGGAGGTCCCTCTTTATTTTGGGGTGGTACGCACGCCTCTCGTTTTTAAAGAGAGGGGAAGTTGTAATGTTAGAGACAAGTAAACTCTTTGATCAGCAACGCTGACATTCTCATGAGTTGGCCTCTAGCGCCAGCTAGCCTCTCCTAGGGACCTCCGCGGGATTGTTTGAAAGCACCGAGCATCACAGCGCGAGCCAACAGAGCTCAGTCGGCTTGCAGTCTCGGTCGAGTCCAGTCGTGTTCGTCCGTGCCTGTATCGTTCCTGCTAGTACCAATAAATCCACTGATTCAGTACCTCCTGTGTCTCCTTTACTCAGTCACTACCTGACGCTACAATATTTCTTTAGTATATGAAATATTATATACTGAACAGTCTACTAAAACTAAATAAAATACGTGTCTTTCCTGTTTGGCCCCATTAACCTAAAATCATGTACACCATATGTGTTATTTACGTTCGTTTCTTTTTAAGGGTGTACATTATGCTTTTGTTATTATTTTTATTACTTTTAGTT